GAGGTCGCGAACGGGCCGCGGACCGGGGTGGGGATACGCGAAGCGTCTAGAATTTTGAGGTGCGTGTCCACTGGGGCTAGGCATATCGCGGCCGGCTGTCTACTTACCTCACAACAAAGGTGCGCCCAAAACAAAAAGTTCCCCCAGCACCCAAGTTGAGGGCGCCACTCCTTCTGTTCCTTCTCCTTTTCCTCCTCCTTCTCCTCTTCCTCTGCCGCCCCCCAAACCCCCGAGAACCCCACGGAGCCACCCAAACTACCTGCAACCACGCAAACGCGAGCAGAGCCAGACTCCTCCTCCTCCGCCCCGTGCTCACCAGAGGCTGTGAAAAGCACCACGCCGTGACAAGACAGCACCTTGGCTTCAAGATGGCCTTCCGTGGAGGGCCTTGGGCACCAACAACGAGACAGGAGCGCACGCCGTGACAGAGGTGTGCGGCGCCAGAATGCGAGGCCCGTGCTCCCCTCAAGATCGGCCCCAGGACCTGTCCTGGCGCGCGCTCTGGCCAGGATTTCGAGAAGTGTCTCCAGCCGAGGCCCGAGGAGACCCCCCCCAACAGCAGACACGTCGATGCCCCCCCGCTCCTCCGTGCGTCAGGCAGCGATGCCAGCACATGGACACCAGTGAACCTGCACAAGCTATGCAGGGAAACCAGGGCAAGACAGAAACCGCGCCGCCTATACGGCACATCGGAACAAAACAGTCAGATTGACCTAATTATGGAAAAATATGCTAGATGCAAGCTTATCCCCCCACACACACACACAGCCGCTGTCCATTGACCATCACAACGCTCGCAGAGCAGAGCAACCCATGCGGTGTAATTCGCATTCCCGAAGGGCCAACGGCAAGCTACCTCCTTTGAAGCAAATAACTCTGGTAATGTGGAGACCGCGCCGCTAATACTTTGCATCTAGTCCGGGCGCGCGTAACGGCGACCCTGGGCGCTGCAGAGACGGCGGCCGAAGTCTAAACAAGAGCGGGCGAAATCCCCCCAAGGAGCGTTGATCAAAGCGTGCGAGGCCTCATTCTGACCCCAGGGCCCAAAGTTGACCCCATGATGAACACGAAATCGCAGCATAGTCCAAGCTAACTTACCAGACTTCCGCAGCGGCCCAATGGCCGAGCACCTCATCTCGGAGGCCCCGCCCGAATCCTTCGAGCACAACTGACGTATGAATGAGTTTGGATTCCTCACCGTTTCGCTCCCGATGGGTCCAGAGGCCTCAGTATCTCATGATGGTGCCAACATCGCCCAATAGAGCTCCTCACGGAGCGCAGAGGGGCCCGGCGAGGGCTCTGAAAACCCCCAAGAGCGTACCAACGAGGTTCCCAGAAGACCCCAGGAGAGCTCAAGAGAGGCCGAACAGAAGGGAAGAAGGACGGCAAGCTCCACAACGGCCCAAAAACATCCCTAAGGAGCCAAAGGGCCCGACGATACCCCCTACTACCGCCCAAGTTGGCTCCGAACAGGCACCCGCTAAGCCTCAAAGATAGCAAAACCCTTCAAACCCCAGTGATGTTTCAATGAATTTGACTCTCGCGCCCTTTAGCTTCCGACGGGCGTCTGAAGCTTCAAAGCGGCGTTTATATCGCCCGAGGTGGCCCCAAGGGGAGCCCAGAAAGGCTCAAGAGGTCTCCGAACACCTACAAGAGCACCAAAGAGGCGCTCAAAGATAACCTCAGGAGGGCCCCCGAGTGGGATGAATAGGTGGCATGTCCCATGATCGCCCAAGAACATGATACGACCGAGGTGGCCGAAGATGGTCCAAGACGGCGCCAAGGAACCGCTGAAAAGCTCCAGATGTGCCCGAATCCTGAAAACAATACATGTGTTCCAATGGTTTTCGTGCTCTCTCACGTCTTCGCTTTCGATGAGATTCCCAGGCCGCAAGACCTCAAGAAGGCGCCAAGACCGTCCAACATAGCTCCTGACTAGAGAACAGGAGGGCTTCCAAGAGGGCTCCGAGGACCCCGCGAGAGCCTCGGGAGCCTCCAAAGAAGGCTCCCCCAACGGGACCTGGAAGCGGCCCCCTCGTCCTCCACTCGTCCTCCACCCCCTCCCCCCCCCCCCCATCGCCCCCCACCTTCGACTAAGTCGAGCGTGTCCCTCCACAGGAGGAATACAACAATAGTCGACAAATAGTCTGGGGACGATTGTATTTTTGCATATTTGTTTGAATCTGTTTTGCATAATTTCCCATTTTTTCGTCAAAAGTTTGCAGGTAGGAGGACACGCCCGACCTAAACCTTCGAGCGGAGACCACCATCCGCTCAGAGCCGGCCTCCGAAACCTCCCCTGACTACCTACCAGATCACCCCAGCCCAACCCGAAGACCCGAATTTCGGGTTAGGGGGGTGCACTGGTCCCACATGCGTTTTTTCGATATTCCCCGGCCCCCCCAACGTGGAACTCGAGGGTAAATTTGGACCATCGGATTGGGTTGGGGTGGGTTGTCGGGTCGGGCGATAGGAGGGGATAGCAAAGGGGGGGTTTGAGAATCAGCTCGCGTAGCTGATTCTCCCGGCGCCTCCCAGCGCCAGAGGCGGCCATGTATCGAGGAATGGGCCCCTCGGTGGGGCCGAAACCCGCTGCTGCATGCAGCAGATTTCGCAACGCCCCCTTTCCCAACCCCGCCCCTTTCGTCCGGCCCGAGCTTGGTGGGTGGTGGTCCCCCCGGGCCCCTCCCGCCGGAGGAGGCCCCGCGGCGCGGGGGAGCCGGCGGGCGGCGCCCCCGCCGGCCTGCGGCCGAGAGTCAAGTCGGGCAGATCTCTCTGTGGCGGAGGAAGACACGCAACATAGTCCACACAGACTCCAGATTTCGTAATAAGGGATGGGGGTCTCATTTCGGGGGGGGGTCTCTTCCAGGCTATCTTGGAGGGCCTGGGGGGTCTGGGGACGATGTTTTGGAGGGTTCTCCCACGGGGGAGGTCTGAAATGGCTTGTCTTGGAGGGTCCAGACCCCCTCCCTTTTATTACGAAATCTGAAGTACCCTGGGGACGATTTATTTAATATTGCTTTGGCAATTTTTGAATGTGTTGTGAATATGTTGTCTTCATCGCCCAACATCCGCCTGTAGGGGGGCATGCCCGACCTGCGGCCGAGAGCCGATCAACCTGCGGTCCTGACCCGCTCTCCGGCGCGGACGCAGCGATGGACTGATCCACCGATTGTGCTGAAGGCGATGTGAGGATCCATTGATCGACGCGGCCCAGGCGATGTACAGTCGGGGAGTTGACCTAAGGAACGATAAATGAGGAACGAGGCCCCTTTTTCCCATACATTAAACTCCGACGTTCCATGGAAAACCTCAGGAAAACCCAAGGAGCACTGTAAAGCACCTAAGGAACACGGAGCCCCTCCCCAACAAAAATGGTTCCTTCTTCAGGGCCCCGACTGTAATGACCCACTGATTGGGCTGACGGGGGTAAACACACGTTGGGCCAACACACGTTCGGCGGCGGCGATAGGGGCGCATAGCCCATGGGCTGGCATTGCACGCATGCGCCGGGGAGCATTGCCGAAGACATGGTTCACCAGCGCCCCTGGATACATGTGCTGCTCCCCCCTGGGCTGTTCGCCCCTAGCGTCGCCTCCGACACGTCCTGAGGATCACCGAGCCGATGACCTGCGGACCTCCACCTCCTCCTCTTCCCCCTCCCCCTCCTCCTCCTCCTTCTCCTCCCTCCTCCTCCTCCTCCTCCTCCTCCTCCTCCTCCTCCTCCTCCTCCTCCTCCTCCTCCTCTCCTCCTCTCTCCTCCTCCTCTCTCCTCTCCTCCTCCTCCTCCTCCTCCTCCTCCTCCTCCTCCTCCTCCTCCTCCTCCTCCTCCTCCTCCTGGTCTCCGGCGCGAACCCGGCCGTGGCGGCGAGGAGCCTCTCCGGGAGGCGCAGGGGCGCTTGCCGTCGCTCCATGGCGTCTGGCCGCTCCCCATGCACGGTTTGGACTCTCGTGCGTGCCTTCTTTGTCTTCTCGGGGAGACGTAAGACTCGGGTACGGGGGACTCGGGTTGGCCCGACGGGGCCATCATAAAGATGACGAGGCCCAATCTGAACTTTGACGCGAGCTCCCGCTGCAGACATCCCACGAAAACTGGACCGTCAAAATCCAGGACGCGCTCGTCAAAAAAATGTCGGCAGACCCGAGATCTGGCTTACTCGGGTCTTGCGTTCCCCCGGTCTTCGCTCGGGGGTCCAACATGCGCTTCGATTTGAGCAGGGACCAGCCGTCCCGGCAGTCCAGTAGGCCTGCCACAGCATGTTCTCAGATTCCAGCTGCGCTCTAAGAGCAAAGGCGATGTTCTTAGAACATCAACCCATGTGTTAAACCAACACAGTCCCAACCAAACATGCTCTAAAAACGTTTCGTGCAGACCGCGCAAGGTTGTTAGAACATCCTTCGGTGGGCCTATAGGCAAGCCGGGACGTTTCGCCAATGCTTGATCGGTGGCCTCCCCGAGAAAAAGCAGAGCTGGACCTGAACGCTGTTTTGCTTGACTTCGGGCGTGCTTTGCTGTTCCTTCTGGCAGGGGGGTATACAGGAACACGGGCAGAGAATCACGTCAACGAAACGAACAACAACCTTTAGGCCCAGCCCCGAGACAAAATGCACACGTCCGAGCGACGCCGAGAGCGAGGACGAGACCCACCCGCGAGGGCCGCCGTGGCCTCGAAGGACTCGAGCCGCCACTCGAGCCGCCACTCGAGCCGCGCCCGGCCGTGGCGACGGGAACCCCCCGGAAGCGAAGACGTCGCCGTCGTCGTCGGCGTCGTCGTCGTCGTCGTCGACTTCCGCATCGTCGACGTCTTCCGTGTCGTCAACGTCTTCCGCATCGTCGTCGTCGGCGGCGGCGGAGGTGGCGGCGGCGTCGAAGTCGTCGACTTGCGCATCGCCATCGTTTCCCGCATCGCCGTTGTCGACGCCGCCGTCGGACCGGGCCGCCAAGCAGCCGCTCGACGTTGTCGTCGTCGACGCCGGCGTGGAGGGCCGCGCGGCGGGGCGCGGGGCGCGTCGCCCGCGACCGCATCGGCCCGTAACCAGCGGCGCTCTCGGGCAGCAAGGGGCCCATGGCCACGCGCTCCTCGGTGAACTCCTCGCGTGGTCACTCCCTGGAATACGAAACTAAACACGACGGGCGGTTGTAGGTATTATATTGTCCTTGGGGGGCCGTTTACAAGCCTCTGGACCTTCAGAAAACGGCTCGGTATGAAACGCCAATCCTGGTGGATGGGTCGACGCCCTCGGGGGGTCCACGTCATGAAAAGTCATGACGTCGGGGGTTTTGGGGGGCGGTTCTGGCATTGTGCTGTTTCGTCACGCCGTGCGCTTTTTTCTTTCCGGCCCCAAGGACATCACGGATCAATCCGGATCGAGCAGTGCTGCAGACAGATATGGTCGAAGGCTCCCGTCGTGACATGTTTCGCAACCTCGGCTCGGCGATGGGGGAGGGAGGGCTACAATAACCACATTGGAGGTTCTGGGGGGGGCAAAAGGAGGGCGATCGAAGATGGGGGGACGATTTGTTGGGGGGACCTGCACGTCCCAGCGCCTCCAGGGCCTGCCAAATCTCGGCTGACACCACTCTGAAATGCAGGGCGGATGCTGAAAGAAGACTCTTGTGCTGTATAGAGGAAATCTGTGTCTGAAAGCGACGTTTGTTGCATAGCGGGCGCGCGCGTGACCACATTGAGCCACATGCCCACGGCGACTCCTAGCGTACCCGCATTTACTGCCATGCTGCCACCTGCCCTGTCACTGGTAACCTAACGCTCGAATGTGTTATTAAACATTTCCTTCATGCTCCGTTGGCTGCCTGGACGCAAACCGCCCAGTCCACCGCCAAGACACAAAGGACAGACTGCACCAAGTAGTTTCAGTGCCCGCCAGGGCAGAACAGTGGATATCTAGACCATTCTTGTGTTCAACAGGCGTTGCAGAGGAGACCTTCTGCTGACCAGGTCTCTCAGTGCAAATTGTACAAGCAGCAGAGTGTTAGACGGAGCGCGTACTCAATCAATGTCATGTTCAACTGTCCGAAACCGGTTGCCTCGCGCACAGAATTCGAGAATTCACGGGGGCATCCCACTAACTAGCACGCCTACCGCGTCGCATTTACGAACGCTGTTTGCGAATTGCACCATCTGTATTTTCCCCTCCCTTACTGAGCTGTCAGCTGGACGACGCATTCGCGTACATAGACGGGAGTATGCGACGCCGAGTAGTTTAACCAGTGGCGTCGTCGTTCCCCTGACCATCAAGGTGGCTACGCTGTGAGCTGGGGGCGGTTGTCTTCAGCTTCTCCTCGGCCAGCTTGACGACTCAGCGACCGTAGCTGAGCTCACCGCGCACGATGGTCGAAATCAAGTCGCGGTCGTTTTTCCCTTTCGTCACGGGGTCGGCGCCCAAGTCTCTGGTGTCGCACCGCAGGTTTGTCGTCGGTGTGACTGGTGCGCGGCTGATTTGACAGCTGCCGGAGGTGCCCGGCCGCGTTGTTCTCTGGGGGTGGTCGAACAGACTCCATTGCCAGGACTGTAAATGCGGACATGCCGTCGACGGCGAGATCGGCCGCCGCGGCACCGCCGCCCTCCTCCCTCAGCCTTCTTATGTCTTCGGTGACTAGGGTCCACGCGCCACCTCGTGAAGGGTCAGGAGGTGGGCCTGGCGTCCTTCTGCTGCTCCGCAGGAGGCGAATAGCACAGTGCTGTGCGATCGGCTCACAGCGTCGAGCAGGTGGCAGGCCTCCTTCCCGGTACTGCGACACTTGCGCCGACGCGTGTATACGGAGCCTCGCACGCCGTATTCCGTCCTCTCCTCGCGCTTGAACGAACCGCCGCTGTGCGCGCAGAATCGGTTGGCGCATTCCATCGATGGGACTGTGAGGCGCGCCTTTATCTTCTGCATGGCCCAAACCACGGCACTCAGCTGCATCGCGTGCGTGGTGAGCAGTTTGTTGTTGCTTCTCTGCGTCGCGACACTTCGAGCTTAAGAAACCACCGCGTCGGCTTGGTGTTGCACTCGGGCGAATGTACGACCCTGGCGAGCTTCATAGAGAAAGTCATGGGCGCATCCTTCCAGCCCGTGCCCGGCCTGATGCAGCGCAGGCAGTCGGTCCGCTCGTCGAAGGACTCGTGACCTGGAACCTGCCTGGGAATGGCTGCGCTGCCGGGCGGACGGGTGAAGATCACCTCGCGTGGTGTTTCGCCCTGTTCCTGCATTTCGGCGTGAAGCATGCCCTGCAGAAGCATCTTCTGGACGTCCACGGCGACGTCTCAAAAATCCGGCCTGCGGGAGAATTCCAGAACGACCCCACGCGCGCTTGTTGCCCCCCCACCCCCACCCACGCAAAAACAAATTACGTCCGATCACCAATTTCTGTTTTTGGTGGAAGAGCCCCCCCTTCTCCCCGCACAACAGAAACAAGTCAAACAAATGTTGACGTCCGCCGCGTTGTTTTTGTTGGGGGAGGAATTCCCATACACACGCATCACTACACCACACACACACGAACAGAAACCAGAGAGAAGCAGAGCAGAAAACAAATCCGAAGACCCTGTCGGCGTGTGCGAGGGGCTTGGCTATTCGAGTCGTCGTCTCCGTCGGTCGTCGCCTCCGTCGTCCCCTTTCCCTGCAGCTTCCTTCTCAAGCTCGTGAGCGAGAGAAAAATCGAGCAGTGTCGTAATCGAGTCGAAGGGAAGCCCCTTCCCTTTGATCCCTTGCCCAGGGGGGGGTCCCGGGGGGGGTGGGGGGGCAGATTCGTTTTTCCTCGGGCGGCCTAGAAACCTCGAAAACACTCCAAATGAGGTCCGAATGCCCCAGATGGCCCCCGAGACGGCCCAAGAGGGCCCCGAGTCGCCCAAAGATCGGCCGAAAACGCCCAAGATAGCCCCAAGACCGTCCAAGAAGCCTCCAAGACGTCCCAGGCCCCCTCCAAGAGACCCCCAGGAAGCCCCAAGAGGCCCCCACGAGGCTTCCAAGCGGCCCCTAAGAGCTTCCCAAGAGGCCCACAAACTACCCCCAAGAGGCCCCCAAGAGCGCTCGTCGTCGTCGTCGTCGTCGTCGTCGTCGCCATTCAGGGTCGGCGGCACCGGCCGTAAGGCCTTCGCAATAAGAGTGAAGATAGGGCCCAACAGACCGCATACTCCACAATCCCCTGTCGTCGTTGTTTGAATCAGCTTGGGGAGGGGCCTCGCCTACTAACGGAAGGTGCACAGCAGAGGGGTACGTCCAGTACAAGGCTTCTGTTCTTATATAGACTCAAAGACACGCCTCGTCTAGCAGAAGGTTGTGCACAGCATAGGGGCACGTCTACTACCAAGGCTGGCTTTTTAAATCAACCATGGGCAACGCGCTGAATTGTGGTGCTGGTGAGAAAGGTGACGGAAATACGGGTGGCAACGAGGCCAGGCGTACCGCCATCATCCGCTAGACGAGGTCCCTCCCGAGAGTGTTCAAACACGAACTTGGGGAGATGCTTCGTCTAGCAGAGGGTGGTGCACAGCGAAGGGCCACGTTTAGTACCAAGGCTGATCTGGTAATCAGGCTACGAAGGGGTAGCGTCTATTAGCGGGCGGTGCACAGCAAAGGAACACGTCTAGTACCAAGGAACGTGGAAAAGGGTTCTCGTCTAGCAGAGGGTTGTGAAAAGGGGCACGTATAGTCCAAATAATGTGTTGTGGAGACAAGCCGTGGGGAGGGGTCTCGTCTGGCAAATGATGATGCACAGCAGAGGAGCGCGTCCAAGGACGCTGATTCAATCAGCTTTGGGAGGGGCTTCGTCTAGAAGCGGGTGGTGCACAGCAGCTGAGCACGTCTAGGATGCTTTCAGGGGTACGTTAGCTTTGGGAGAGGCCTAGTCTAATAGCAGGACGTGCACTGCAGAGGGGCGTGTCTAGTACCACGGATGCTTTTAAATCACACTGGGGAGGGGAGGGGTTTCGTGTAGCAGAGGGGGGTGCACAGCATATGGGACACGTCTAGCACCAAGGATGCTTTTTATCAGCGATCGGGGGCGCCTCGTCGGAGCTGTGATGCCGCTGAAGAGAAGGACGGCGGAGCTGCGGTTGGTACTGGTAGCGAAGCCAGACGTGTACACCACCCTCCTGTGAGGGGAGCTTCTGGGGGACAGAAATGCTATCCTAAAGCCCTCTCTGAGGCGGTCTCCCAACCCCCCAACCTGCCCTGAAGGAGGTTTTCCCTGGGGATCAATCCCCCACCCCTTCCAAAAGTCTCCCGACAAGGGGGGGGGGTCCGGGGGGAAATCCCCGAACCCTATCTGAAGGGGCATACGGGGAAAACCCTCCCAAAACCTCCCCGTGAGGGGGGGTGGGGCACTGGGTGAAAAACTCCAGCCCCCCTCTTAACCAGACCAAAAACATCCCCTGAGAGACGGGGTTGTCCGGGGGAACCGAATCATACTTCCCAATGGGAAAATCCTCCTGGCTCTCTTTGCCTCCAGACCGCTCCCCTCTGGGGGGGGGGGGGCAACAAAAAACGCATCCCCCTAACGACTCCCCCTTAGCGGGGGTCCAGAAGAGCCTCCGCAGACGCCCCCATAGCCTTTCCAGAACGGTACTGCCGGAGTCTATGGGCTTATATATATATATATAAATATATATATATATATATATATATATATATATATATCTCAGATGTTTTAACCAAGAAAACATGCTAACCCCCTTTTCCCCCCTGGAAGAAGAGAAAATATAACAACAATAAACAGACAAAGACGGATGGAGAGTTCCAGAGGGAAAATCCATACACCCTGCAAGAGGGTCCTCCAAGGGTGGCTCTGGCAACTGCAGAAGGGGGTGCGAGGCTCCCGAGCTCCCCAAAACATACCAACAACCAGCGCCGAGGGGGAATTCCGCTTAAAGAGCGTCCAACCATCTCCTGAACCATCAAAGAGCACACCTGACGGGGAGTTCTGGGCGGAGGCGCCCCCGACCCCCCTTTTGACCCCCCCCCTGAGGGCCGGGGAGTCTGAAGGGAAAACCGCCCTAACTCCCCAAATCCCTCCAACAAAAAACTTTGGAGAGGAGGTTCCAGGGGGGAAACCTCCCTACCCCCCCTAACCCCCGAAAAATCTTCCCTGAAGGAGTTCCAAGAAAAACAATCCGAACATCCCCCCCGAAAAAAACTCCCTCTGGGGGGGGGGCGTCCTGGGGAAAAACTCCCTACCCCCTGACCCCTCCTGACCCCTCCGGAAACTCCCTCGGAAAGGGAGGTCCAGCAGAAATCATTTCGAACCCCGCATAACCTCTCCGACAACTTCCCCTGAAGGGGGTTCCGAGTGAAGAAAAACCCAACCCGCCGAGCCTCCTCCCTGAGAAGGGGGGCCTGGAGAAAGAAGACCTCGAACACTCGCTAACCCCCCAAATAGAACCGTACATGGGGGGTCCTGGGCAACAAAAACATCCAACCACCTCTAACCCTTCCAAAACCCCATCGACGTCAGGGGGGTGAACTTCCGACCCCCCTGCTCACCCAGACAACTCCTCTGATAAGGGGGGGGCAGGGAGAAAAAAAACGAAACTCTGAGGCCGGAAGGGTGTTTCTGAAAAGCGAGCTTGGGGGGGGGCGCCCTGAACTAACTCCCACGGAAGCTCCCTGAGGGGGTGGTTTGGGGGGAAATTCCCGTAGCCCCCCGAAAACAAACAAAAAAAAAGAGGGGTGTCCCGCGACCAAAAAACACCAGAACACTCCAAATCCCAATACAAAAAAAAACCGGAGGGGGGGGTCCAAGAGAGATGCCCCCTACCCCCCCCCCCCCGATGGGAGGTGAATGGGGGGTTTTCCATGGAGGTATCTGGGAACTGCCACGCCCTACTGCCCAAGGAAGTCGAAGAGAAGCCCGAGGATCAAACCCTCTCTCCCTCCCTTCCTCCAAGACGAGGACAACATTTCAATGAGGAGGGCGACGGAATGCGAGGAGGAGGAGGAGAAGGAGGAGGCCAAGCACGAGCCGGAGGAACAAGTAGGATTCCAATACGTAATTACTGATGCCGCTGCTCCATAGACCCCTCCCGAAGGGCAGTCGGACTAGAATTTCGAAACACATCCAGCGGTATCCCCTGCGAGGCCCAAGAAAGCGACAGCGAGGCAAGGGCAGCGGCGCCGTTACATGTCCCCCCTCTCTGAGGAAACGGGGAGCGAGCACGGAGGAAAGAGTAACGGGGAGCATCAGGAGGAGGAGGAGGAGGAAAAAGGAGGAGGAGGAGGAAAAGGAGGAGGAAGAGGAGGAGGAGGAGGACCTTGACCTTGACCTGCCTCTGACCTTTGCTGAGTCGATCACTCTGGGCCCCACTTCGCTCCCTAGTCCCAATTGGGATCTAACTGTAATTACAATGTAATCCGTCACTGGAGGCCTGCAGTCGCCAGCAAAAGATCGGACCCAACCGCGCCTCGCCCACGCGCAGGGGGCTCTGGGCGGAGTTGCAACTGCTTGAACTGTCTCACGGCCACCTGTCTTGTTCCCTCGGCTTCTGCCGTTTCCCACCCCCCCGTCCACCGCTCCTTCCTTCGGGCCTCGGCTCGGGGGGGCGGCGAATTAGGAAGCGATACGGTAGCGGGCTCGAGAATACAGCTCAGGAGCAGCACTGGGAGGGGGTCTGGGAAACTGAAGTCGGCCATAGTTCGCCGGTTCACGAACTCTGGCGCTGTTGGCAAAGGCGGGAGGGAAGAGGAAGGGAAGAGCGGACCTGCCTGTTAAAACCTCGACGCCTCTCACCTCTGGATCCCCCCATCACTTCAACACGCGTTCGATGTCCCTCTCGAGCGCTCCCCTCGGTGGCATCCCGAATTTCCTCCTGGCCCTGACCCCCTGCGCCATCAGCGCTGCCACGAGAATGTTCCTGATCATCACGTACTCTGGGTGGAAAAGTGAGCTGGATCCCCGCCTTCAACTTCCCCTGGGCGGCCTCGCCTTTGTTCTCCTTCACGCGGGAGATCGTGACGCTGCAGCCCAACTTCTCGATGCCTGGCTGCATTGTAGTACTTCTCGGGCCTGCTGCGCCTCCCACGTCGTGCCCTGGACCAGTTTCAGCACGACCTTGGACCGCGCAGCGAGGTTTGGCAGACCTGGCGCTCCGAAGTCCACGCTGCCGTCCGTCTCTGCCTTTCTCTTGAGGTCCTGCGCGTCTGTTTTGTAGCCGGCGCCCGATGGCAGCCCGACGCTGGCCACCGAGGAGTCTGTGCCCACCTCCCACGGCTCCACCACCGCCGATGGCAGCTCCGCGGCCTCGCTGGCGACGGTCAGTACGAGCTTCGCCGTCAACCGCAGCAAACGGTCCTTGCTCTCGTCGTCCTGGCGGCCCTTCTTGTTGTCGCGGCCCCTCGGTTGCGTCTCCGCTCCTCGTTTCGATCCCGCCCACGTCGGCGTGTCCTCGAACGTGTTCATACTTCTGTAGTGTCCTAGGTAAGTGCGTGAGTAGGCGCTGACGAAATCGGTCTCCGTCTCGATCGAAATGTCTACATATCGGGCACTTCGCTGCAAAGGGCGTCGGCTCGAACTGGTTTTGGGTCCTGCCTCTCATAGAGAATCCCCTGGTCATAGATCTCGATAAGGGCCTCCACGCTGTACTTCTGCAAGTGAATGTCTGTCTGCAGTGGTGCTCCGCAAGCCTGGCCGTCGTGCAGGATCCCACATCTCCATCCCGTCGCGCCCACCAAGGCATCCTCTTCCAGTTGCTCGTCCGTCCTCTCGTCGTTCCCCAGGAGGAGGAGGAAGAGGAGGAGGAAAGGGGAGAACAAGGAGGAGGTGGAAGAAGAAGAGGAGGAGGAGGCCAAGCAGGCGGAGGAAGCAAGCAAGCAAGCAAGTCGAGTACGGACGGCGCGTGTCGCACGCTGCCACGTGCCCCCAAACAGGGCTCGACAGATGGCAGCCGTGGCTGCCGCCCTCACCGCTTACAGAACTCAACGCAATCATCTTCCAACAGGCGGGGGAGCAAGTAGGAAACCAAAAGGTACTGATACCGCTGCTCCCTAGACCCCTCCCGAAAAGCACTCGGACTAGAATTTCGAAGCGAATCCGGCGGCATCGACGAAGGGCCCCTTGTGAGGCCCAAGAAAGCGACAGCGAGGCAAGGGCAGCGGTGCCGGTACATGTCTCCCCTCTCTGAGGAAAGGGGCAGCGAGGATGGAGAAAGGAGGAACGGGGAGCACAAGGAGGAGGAGGAGGAGGAATATGAGGAGGCGGACGAGGAGGAGGAGGAGGACGAGGACGAGGAGGACAGGGGAGAACAATGAGGAGGAAGAGGAGGAGGAGGAGGAGGCATAGGGCCTCCTCCTTCTCCTCCACATCCTCCTCCCCCTCCTCGGGCTGAGTGGGGAACCCCTCTGTCGCAGGCCCCCGCTCGGGGCGGCGCGGGCCAGGGGGGGCGGACGGGTGCCTCCTCCACGGTGGCCCCGTTGCACATGCCCTCCCCGAAGGAGACGACCTGACCGCACGGGCACGCCGCCGACGACGACGGCGATGACGACGAGGGCGTCTCGCGTCCGCGAGGCCGTCCGTCTCCCTCGGCGCCTCTTCTCGGGGGGGGGGGGGCGGGCGCGTCGAGACGCGGCGCAAGACGGGGCTCCTCGAGAGGCTGGCCAGGGTGGGCGCTGGGAGGCGTCAGGGGATCATGTGTAGCAGACGAAAGGCCTAAACTCGAGACTCGAAGGCCAGGAGGTCCACGTATCGGGGAAGATGCTGGGCGGCAGGGCAAGAACTGGCCGCAGGCGGCCACTTCCGAACCTCCCCAGCTTGCCCACCCCGGGCTCAACCTCATCCTCCTCCTCCTCCTCCTCCTCCTCCTCCTGCTCCTCCTCCTGCTCCTCCTCCTCCTCCTCCTCCTCCTCCTTCCCTCCTCCTCCTCCTCTTCCTCCTCGACCTCCTCCTCGACCTCTTCCTCCTCCTCCTCCTCCTCCTCCTCCTTTTCGTCCTCTTCCTCCTCCTCCTCCTCCTCTACCTCCTCTTCGTCCTCTTCCTCCTCCTCCTCCTCCTCAATCCCCGTAGCGACTCTGGCTCAAGGTGGGAGGGCACCAGGTGCGGCACCCTTGGGGCGCGGGCGGCTCGCGTTCTCCACGCGTCGCTCCTCTCGACAGGGGGCGCGGAGGCAGACGCGGCGTCACCGTCCGCCGCGGGGCCGCGCTCGCGCCCGCCTCGTCGGCGACCAGGGCCGCCGCGCAGCTCCCAGACCCTCAAAGTCATGATTTGTCGATGCCGTGGAAACCAAAAGGTACAGACCCTCCTCCTCCTCCTCCTCCTGTCTCGCCCTCTTTCCTTTCTCCTCCTCCTCTTATTATTATTAACAATATTGGTAATACTATTAGTGCGACTTTTAATAGTATGTGTCTTATTATTATAATGTGTATCATTATTATTTGTAGTAGTATGTTTATTATTATTGTATAACGATAAGGACTACCAGTATGCTTTCATCTACGCAGTAGTATGCTTCTTACTTTTTGTCCTCCTCCTCCCCCTCCTCCTCATCGTCCCTCCTCCTCCTCCTCCTCCTCCTCTTCCCTTGTCCTCCTCCTCCTCCCCAATAGGTCCCGACCGACTCCCAGGACCGGCTTTTTTCGACCCGGGCCGATCTGGTGACGGCCCCATGGCCCAATAAGGCCTCCAGAGGCCCCGTGAGGGTCTGGACTCACGCGAAGAGGAGGAGGATGAGGATGAGGAGGAGGAGGAGGAGGAGGAGGAGGAGGAGGAGGAGGAGGAGGAGGAGGAGGCGGAAAAGGAGGAGGAGGAGGAGGAGGAGGAGGAGGAGGAGGAGGAGGAGGAGGCTGAGGAGGAGGCCCCGTGAGGGTCTGGACTCACGCGAAGAGTTCACAGAGGAGCGGGGTGGCCATGGCCCCCATGCTGCCCGAGAGCTCCGCAGGGTACGGTCCCATGCGGTCCCACGCGCCCGCGCCCCGCGCCCTGCGCCCCGCCGCACGGTTCTCCGCGCGGGCGTCGACGACGAACATGTCGACGACGTTGGCGACGAGGCAGAAGGCCAGCCGGGCCGTGCGGCCTGCCGCCCGCGGGGCCAGATTGGGGGGCCTCGTCGGACCCGCCCGCGACGCCGAGACGCGTAATGGACACTCACTAAGAAGGCGTAGCCTGACTCAGCGGTTTGAGCGGATGCGCCCGTTGAACAGACCCGCCGCGCCCGCCCTGGGGCTAGGCAGCCGCGCGCAGCTGCTGCTCGGCAGAGCCGCCGATCTGGTGGCGGACGTTGGCGACGCCACCCTGGCGAAGGGCCTGGCCGAGCCCAACGAGAAGGAGGAGGAGGAGGAAGAGGGGGAGGAGTTGGAGGGATAAGGAAGTGGAGGAGGAGGAGGAGGAGGAGGAGGAGGAGGAGGAGGAGGAGGAGGAGGAGTGGGAGGGAGGAGGAAAGGGGGAGGAACGGAAGGGTGGGAGGAGGAGGAGGAGGAGGAGGAGGAGGAGGAGGAGGAGGAGGAGGAGGAGGAGGAGGAGGGGGAGGAGGAGGAGGAGAAGGAGGAGGGGAAGGAAGGGGAGAAGGAGGAGAAGGGGGAGGCGGAGGGGGAAGAAGAGCAAGTGGTAGGAAGAGGAGGAGGAGGAGGAGGAGGAGGAGGAGGAGGAGGAGGGAAACGTGGAGGAAAGGGGGAGGAGAGGCGCGGGCGCAGGCGCCCGCGCCACTCGTCCGACCGGCGACTGAACCCACGCCTCCCATTTTGGTCGGCCTTTCGCAATCTCCCATTGGACCCTGCGGCCCACTTCGCCATTGACTGCATCGGTCGGACAAGTTGCAAATTTCTTGAGAATCGAAGCCGCCGGGAAAAAACAAACATGACCGATTTCGCACGCAGCTCGGAGGCCTCGGCCGACGCGAACAGCTCCTGCCAAGATCCAGCTTCTCGCAGGATCCTCGCTCGTCTCTCAGGCGAGGAGAACTTAATAAAAGTAGTGGCTATCCTACGGAACGGTAGACAGATCTGCGTCGTTACATTGGTCAGGCGACGCCGCTCTCGGCCCCGCGAGGCTTGCAAAGGGGCCAGTTGCACTTGGCAGCCCTTGGCTCGGCCAAGGTGCTTCGGCGAGGACGCCGTGGACCTTGCCAAGAGCAGCTTCCGCTGCTTGAAACCACGCTGCCATCGGGGCGCGGGGCTGAAGACCGTCGGAGGCCTGGCCTTCCCGTGGCCCTGCAAATCGCACTTTGCCCCGCAGCTCGCCATCCCAGGGGAGGGGGGGGCGATGCCGGCGCCGCTCGCTGCCAAACTTTGGATCGCCCCGCCACCTGTTCGAGCTTAAGTACAACCGCCGCGCGAGGGCCCGCAAGCGGGTCGAGCGGCGCCCAACAGTCTGCGACACGGTGGTCGAAAAACCTGCGGGCAATCGTGACAACGTCGGCTGCAAGTGGCTTCCTGAGGACGCAAAATAGATGCTATTAGATGTTATGCCCGCCGGGGCGCTCTGAGGCCTTCAGCATTGATGTTCCAGTCGCCCCCCATTGACAAGAGCGCCCAGCCGAGGCCGCGAGTTCGCTGATTCGCACTAACACGGGGGCGCCGGCCCCTGTCACCCCAGGGTTTGCGCGGCCATAAACCGAAACAAAAAGAGCATGCAGCTCGCGATGGACCATGGCCTCGACAGCCGCCGCCCTCTCTGCCACGCGCTGCTGGACACGCTCGCGGTTGCCAAATGGGCCCAGACAAGGACTGCGGTGCCTCCAGGGGACTCCCCCCCCCCAGCTCTCGCGCTAGCAGCCTCGAAAGAAACCGAAAACAAAAAAAACGCCCAAGTCACCGCTGATGCGCCCGCGCCCTGGCCGCTTTGATATGGGCCCTCAGCGGCCTATGCTCCTATGTGAGGCAGACATCGAACTCCATCCCTCTGACGTCGCGGGCCCACTCAAGACGCTTCTTGGCTGTGGCCCTGGCATCCGAATTGCAAGTAACTACAGCGATCCCGAAGTCCTGCTTATGACCCTTCGCCTTCTGGGCACGACTTGCACCGGCCTCGTCGCCGACCGTGCTCGCCGACGTCTCCAGCTCAAGGGCCCGCCCTGCCGCGGGCCCCCCAAGGGCGCAGCTTCGCCCCGCAGCCTGTGAAAAGGGGGCGCTTGCCACAATGGCTTCGGCCGCCCGCGCGCCCGCGGCCTCGCCCAGCCCCCCCCCATCTTCTTAGGGTCTGCCCTGCCGCGGGCCCTCCGAGGACGTTGCGACGCCTTCCCGGGGCGTCGACCGCCCGCGCGTTTGCGGCCCAGGAAGGCGGCTGGTCCTGGTCGAGGGCAACGACCACCCGCATGTCTGCGGCCTCGTTCCGCGGACCCCTGCCCCCCTCTGGGGCCTGCCCGCCGGTGGGCTCCCCCGGGGCCTCTGAGGATCCAGCCGCGCCTGGGGGGCCGCTCCTCTCTGGGGCATCGGCCACCCGCGCATCTGTGGCCCAGAGAGACGGCTGGACCTGATCCAGGTCCAGGCCCCGCTGCGCCCCTTTAGAGTCTGCTCTCGGCTGGGCCGCCCAAGGACCACCATCGGCCCCGAGGCCAGCTGCTGTCTACCGCCTGCCAGCTGCCCCCGTAAAAAATCAAGCGTGGCCGCCACGATGGCCTTCTGGAGTCCTTGGCCACGTTGCCTTTGAGCTCCAGCCACTTGTTCCGCGCGACATCTCCCACTTCCAAGCCGCTGAGGTCGAGGAGGTCTCCAGAGACAGTCTCCGCCGCGTCACAGCCGCTCTCGCCCGCAAGCAACTGCGACAAGTTGAGTTGCGACCCTGCTGGCACCTGCGTCACCTCTGGCACCGCTGACCCTGGTTCAGCGCGCTGGAATTCCGCCTTGAGCTCCGCCTGCCGCTCCGCCTTGGCCAGCACCGCCGCCGCCGCCGCTTGTTTGCTGCAGTCCTCCATCCAGCGCCTCGCCTCGTTTTCCTGCTGTGGCGCTTGCTTGAGAGCCTTCCCCGCCCTGGGGCAGGCCACCCCCTTAGCGCTGATGGTATCCTCCATCAGCGGCTGCCGAGGCGCGGACGCTGGCTCTGGGCCCCTGCGTCCTGGCCGACGTGCTGCTGGATCTGCTCCAGCTCGGCGACCGAGGGGGGGGCCGTGCCCCGACGCGGCGGCGTCGACGGCTTGGGTGCCTCCATGCGGGTAGGCGCCCACGACCCTGGCGGCTGCGCTGGCTGCCGCTGCCGCTGGCCGTCGCCACGAGTAGCACTCCACCCTCGACTTCCAGTTCCATCGGTAGCGACAGCTCGTGCACGAGAGGAACTGTTTGGTCGCATCCTTGCCCATGGCCTCCGCCAGGAGCTCACCAGTGACGCAACCCGTGCCACTGGGGCACAACGTACAATATTGGAGTCGTCCCAAGTCGCTGAGCCTCCCGCTACGGACTTGAGCCAAAATGGCTACGGAGGAGGAAGAAGACGACGACGACGACAAGGAGGAGAGAGGAGAAGAGAGGAAAGAGGGGGGAGGAACGAGGATTTGAGCAGAGGGGGGGGGGAGGAGGCGCGGAAGGAAAAGGAACCCTCCTCCTCCTCGTTCTTCCCCTCGTCCTCCCCCCTTCCCCTGTCTGCCCCCGAGCCTCCTTCAACCTCCCCCTCCACCCTGCTCCCGAACCCCACCTCCGCCTCCTCCGCCTCCGCCTCCGCCTCCGCCTCCTCCTCCTCCTCCTCCTCCTCCTCCTCCTCCTCCTCCTCTCCGAGCTCCTCTTCTTCTCCCTCCTCCGCGACATCCTCCCGCTCTTCCCGCTCCGCCTCCGTCTCCGTCTCCTCCTCCTCCTCCTCCTGTACCTCCACCTCCTCATCCATCCCTCCTAGAAGAGCGAAGGACGGAGGCGCGGCCGCCTGATCGTGCATCGTGGTGGCGGTCTGGTGCGAGCACATCCTCCGCCAGGCGACGGCGCAGATCGGGGATTTAGACCTGGGTCGATTATGGCAATCTCGACTGCCCCAGAATCTCGAAAACAAATCTCCCCGCGACTTTTCTGCCATCTTTAATGTCCATCTTCCAGTGAATCTCCCAAACCTCCTCGAACCTAAACAATACCAAACAAACTCTCCAAACGATCTTCGCGCCTGAATAATATTCAACGGAATATATAACAAACTTTCCGCGCCTTACGAATCCCCAAACAATCTCCAACACATCTCCAAAACAATATTCTAACCGTACGAATATCCAAAACATCTCCAACGCATCTCCAAACAAACCTCGCGTCTCACAAATCTTCAAACAAAATCATAAAACTATCTCCAAACGGCCTTCGCGTCTTACGAACTCTGGGAAATCATTGTTTCCCAATTGATTGAACCAAATTACAAACACACCAAAAAACTAGCCGGAAATGTTCCCGAGATTCCTTGAGCCCGATTTCCTGGAGATTCCTTAGAGAGTGTTTGAACCGGAGATGTCTCGGAGATTTTGGATATAGCCAAACCAAGATTGCAGATTTTCACGGAGATGCTCCAGAGATCTTTTGCCAAGGTGGCCACGGTCGCGTTTGCCACTTTGGCCCCATCTGAACCTGAGACTTTCAGGGCCAATGACAAGAGAGAGAGAAAGAGAGAGAGAGAGAAGGTGAGAGGTTGTGGATAAGGATGACGAGGAGGGTGGTAGGATGACGAGGAGAGTGGAAGGCAGGGCGGGGAGGGTGGGCAGGACGAGGACGAGGTGATGAGGAGGACGAGGATGATGACGAGGATGATGATGAGAATGATGATGATGATTATGATAACGATGACGATGACGATGACGATGACGATGATGATGATGATGATGATGATGATGATGATGATGATGATGATGAGGATGATGATGATGATGATGCTGATGACACGCCCTTAAAGACGGGCTGGGCTCCCGAGATCCGCACGACTCAGAAGCGCCATGAGGGTGGTAATGATGGTACGGCAGGTGCGTGTCGTGCCGACCCCAGCGTTGGTTTTTGCTAGGGCTCCCAACTTCGCGCTTCGCGCTGCGCGAAGCGCGAAGCGCGAATAACTTCGCGCTCTCGCGCCGCCCCCCCAAAGGGAGAGAAGAGGAGGACGAGGAGGAGGGGGAGGAGGAAGGAGGACGGCGAAGCGCGAAGCGCGAATAACTTCGCGCCCTCGAGGGAGCCCTTGGTTCAACCTTGAACGATCGGCCGCTGCCGCAACGTCCGATCGTTCAACCTCGATCGATTCTGGGTCGCCGGCGGCGCTCCACCTCGAACGTCCGCGCCGGGGTCGCCGCTGGTCGACACGACGCAGACCTGCCGCAGGGAGGGTGGTGGTGAGGCGGCTGTGGATATTCGGGGATGGACAGACCCCCCTTTAGTAAAACGTGGTTTAGTGAAAACGACCTGAGGCCCAAACCTGGCGGGCGCAAGCCTGGGAAACAACGGCCGCGGCGCCCTCTCGAGAACCGAAAACGGACAATTCACTAATCGACGTGTCACTGTTGGGGGTTCTGTCCAGCCCCGAGACATAGAGGACGAGCTGCACCGGAGAGCCACGGCCAGTTGATACCTCGCCTCTATCACGTGCGCTCCGGGCCTGCCCTCCCCTCTTCTTCAAGGGGCCCAAGGACACACACAAACAGATGCGCACATGCACATAACGTGTGCCCCACAGTTTCCCATATGTGTGCTGGGTTTTTGTCGCCCCCCCCCACTTCCCAGAGTTCCCCATCTTTTCCTGGGGATCGACGACGTAAAATGTCTGTATGTGTTTTCCCCTCCTGATTTCTGCCTGTCACTGCCTCTCCTTCGCCGTGTTGCATGCCTTTCGTATACGCGGGGGGGGCCTGCTTACTTATGCATATACCCGTGTGCCTACATATGTACTCAGTGATTCTCTCTCTATCTCTCTGTCTCTGTCTCTCTCTCTCTTTTTTTTTCTCTCTCTCTCTCTCTCTTGTTTCTTTCTCTCTCTCTCTCTCTCTCTCTCTCTCTATATATATATGTATGCATGCTAGAAACACGCGCGCTTCGCGCGCGCTTGGGTTCCAGCGAGCCCAGGTTGTAGTCTAAAGTGTTCGGCATCGGAGGACATGAATTGTCACAAGGATCGGGCACCTCAGGGGGCTCCACCTGCTGTCCATCAGAAAGGCTTGGGTCCGAGAGCCCATGCCGGCACACCCTTCACAGGCATCGCGTCCCTCAGGGACCCACGTGATTCCATCCCCAGAGACGAGAGACAAGGCCCAGGAAGTGAAAAGAGCATGCGCCGCGGAATTAGAGAAGAGGCGAAATGGTCGCCAGAGGGGCGCTTCAGATACAGAGAGGTATACTATGGATTAAACCCTTTCCCATGGTAAAGTACTGCAGGTACAGTTTCAAAAAGGTTCTGCCCAGATTCAACCTGTCTGAGCTCGTGACTCTACACTTTTTCGGAGGAGGAGGACGAGGAGGAGATCTGGCGTGCCCCCCTGTCCCGCGGTGCCCGCTGCCGTGGAACCTCTCCTGCCGAGAGCCCCGCCGGTGGAGCCGCCGCCGCCGACGTCGTCGCCTGCTCAGCATCGGACCCCGGACCACTCGTCTGGGCAACCCTGGCACTCGCCATCGCTCGGACCGTCCACTTTCCCGTGCATTGTTCGGCTTCGTGCGTGTTCTTTTTGCTCGATGGTCCAGGATGGTCCTGGATGCTCCTCGGCGAGAAAAAGATGCACACGTCCGAGCGATGCCAGGGGCACGTGAGCGACGACAAGACACGGGTCTTACGCGAGATAGCATGCCGACCTTACGCGGTGGCTCACGCAGGCCGCCAGCGCCGCACGCCACACCGGAGATGGGAGCGCTCACGCGCGCCCGCGAGCGGAAAAACGCGAAGGCACGCGCAATCGAACACGCGCTTTGGGTCGCTCGCGCGTTGCTCAGCCCAAACCCGCCGACCTTGTGTCGGCGTGTGTGAGGGGCTGTTCATTCCCGTCTTCGTCGTCGTCGTTTTGCAGTGCTCTAGCGGCCTTAGGGGAAATCAATCCACGTCGTAACCACGTCAAAGGGAAACCCCTTCCCTTTGATCCCTCGCCCGTCGGGGGGGGTCCCGGGGGGGGTGGGGGGAGGGGGCTGGGGAGGGGGCTGGGGAGGGGGAGGGTGGGTCAAATACGACTCCGTCCCGTGGGCCTCCTCCTCCTCCGCCTCCCTCCTGTCCTCCTCTTCCTCCCCCTTCTGCTCCTCCTGTTCCTCCTGCTGCTGCTCCTCCTGCTGCTGCTTCTCATCCTCCTCCTCCTCCTCCTCCTCCTGTCCTCCCTCCTCCTCCTCCTCCTCCTCCTCCTCCTGCTCCTGCTCCTGCTCCTCCTCCTCCTCCTCCTCCTCCGCCTCCTCCTCCTCTCCCTCCTCATCCTTCTCCTCCCTCCTCCTCCTCCTCCTCCTCTCCTCTCCTCCTCCTACTCCTCCTGCTCCTCCTCTTCCTCGTCCTCGTCCTCGTACTCGTCCTCCTCCTCCTCATCTTCCTCCTCCTCCTCCTCCTCCTCCTCCTCCTCCTCCTCCTCCTCCCCACCCCTTGCCCCCCCTCCTATTGCTCCTCCTCTACCTCCCCCTACTCCTCCTCCTCCTCCTCCTCCTCCTCCTCCTCCTCACCCTCGTTTTCATCTTCGTCGTCTTCAGGGTCGGCGGCACCGGCCGTAACGCCTTCGGAATCGAGTCCTGGCCTGACGGCCCCCACGGGGCCCAAAAACGGCCCAGGAGCGGAAATCGACAATACGCTTATGCAAATGCAGCGTAGCATAGTGTCGTCATCATCGTCGTCGTCGTCGTCGTCAGCGTCGTCACCGTCGGCGTCGTCGTCGCCCGCTCGAGCGGAGCTGCTGGCACTGCGTCGCCAGGCTCGACAGGAACGCGATGACGAATGCGACCATGGTCTGAGCCGCCTCCTGCACGTCGTTGCCTGTCCAGGGCACTGCTGAGTCCCCCCTGTTCCACCGCGTGGCTTTCCCTCCTCCTTCCTTTTCCTCCGCCTCTGCCTCCCCCTCCTCCTCCCTCAAGTATTGGGGGTCAAGCCTTTCATTTTGGCCTCCTTACCCTGTGCCTCAGCGCGGCACTTGAGAGACTAGATCTGAACCCCACTTACTGTGCGACCATTTTGCGTTCGGATCTCGACCAAAGCAGGGGAGAACTCAGAAATGAGAGATGGCCAGGGGATCGTGTGTACCTCGAGAAAGTGGCCCCGTGGACCAGGTGACCTGATTGTGGATGCTGTGAGTGCAGCGACGAGCTGATCAAGGTAGGTGCATCTGCAGAGGCTGCGAGTCCTGGGTGCCTCTGCTCAGGGCTCGGTCGTCCTCCGCGGGAGGGAAGGCCTGCTTCAGCGCGGATGGCGAGGAGAGCCAGTCGTTGCCCCCCCGCGGGACCGAGTGGGGGGGCGGCTAAGGGCACAGCGGCGCCAGGGGCAAGACGGCGCAGCGAGGGCGGCTGCCCTCCTACGGCAGGCGCTCCAGGATACGGAGGGCGAGGAGCTCAAGGGCGGCCTGCAGAAGCAAGTGGGCAAGCTCGTATCGGAGGAGGCAAAGCCCAAGGACGAGCCGCCCCTTGTTGATGCGCTTCGTCGAGCTGACGGGGTGCGCAAAGACACCGAGCATCGGCATTCGCAACAACTTGCGCATGTCGTTCGATTGAGGAGGCAGCTCCAGCGGGCGCGGAGAAGGAGGCGGCGGCGGCGGCGGCCAAGGCAGTGCCAGAGGCCGCGCCAGCCCGCAGGGCTGCAGCGCAGGCCGCGGAGAACGCCGAGGGCGCGGAGGTCGCCGCCGCCCGGGCAGAGGCCTTCGCCACGAGACCGATCTTCCAGGTCTGCTGGGGCCATGACGTTTTCGATGGGACTGATGGCATGGGGTGCGAGGAGCACGAGAGGAAGGCGCTGAAAATGGCACCGAACTCCACCTCGAGGCCGCGCGAGGGGCCGCGGCCTCCAAAGCGGCGGAGGTCAAGGCGCGGGGCCGGAGCAGACGGAGACCGCCAGGCGCGACGTCGAGAAGGGGCTCGCCCAAGGGAGACGGGGAGCCGACGGACAGGCGGCGGCGGGCGGAGGCGGCGATGCGCAGCCCAAGCAGCAGCCACAGGCGGCCACAGCGGGCTCCCCGGGCGAAGCCGCCAGCGGCGAGGCTGCAGCGGGCGCGGCCGCAGATGCCAAGGCCACCGCCGAGGCAGAGGCAGAGGCGAAGCCGATCGCAGATGAGGCCCAGCAGCCGTCGGATGCCAAGTTCCTGGCGGAGGCCCATAAGCAGAAGGGCGAGAGCATCGACAAGTGCATCGACCCCAAGGGCGACGGCGGTCACTTTCGACTATCTGGAGCGCAGGCATAGCCTGAGCCGCCTCAGGAGGCGGCGGGGGAAACGCATCGTCGGTGGTTCTATGCGAATGTCACTTGCATGGGGGAGAAGTCGTGGAAATGGCTTACGTCTCAGTCGTTTGACTTCATCAGTGCGTAATCGAATTTCGCATTCATGACGAACGGACTCTCCGGAAGTATGACGCCAAGGCTCGGGGAAAGGGCCTTCGTCTGTTTACCAATCCAGCGAGACTAGCTTCGAACGAGAGAGGAGCTGTCGGCGCCGCCAAGGAGGCGCTGATGGAGCACTCGAACGAGAGCGGTGAGTGGTTTCTGCCGAAAGGGCATATGCAATCACGTCGCCTCTCAGCTGCCAGGTTAGCTATGCACAGATTGCACGCGCCTCACCATCCCACCAGCCTGGGTGGGTTTCTGGCTACAGTTGTACATTTTTCGGGCTTCAGCATGGTACTGGTGAGTTTATACGCGCATAGTTGTATCGGGCCCACAGGAGCCAGCATCGGCATGTTTCAGCGTTTGGCTTGACTCCTGTGGGCGCTCCAACTTCTCAGGATCGTGGCAGGGGACTTCAACGTGGAGCCCAGGAGGTTAGAGAAATCCAGCATCGCTCGTCGTTTGCAAGCTGTGGTGTTGCAGGCTAAAGGGGTTGTCGCATGTAATCGAGGCTCGGGCACGGCTAGATATTACCTTCTTTGCAGTCAGTCAACTGTGCCATTTGTTGCAGACATTCGCCCAGTCATCCCGGTCCCTTGGAAGCCACGGATAGGACTTGATATGTTCCTGCGTCGCTCGGGGGAACAGCTCCCGACGAGAATGCTAGAGACCCATGGCCGCCTTCCGCGGGTCCCCAGACCGAGCGAGGGAGCCACTGCGGGGTCGAAGTCTAGTCTTGCCAAAGCTGCGCGTAAGGTTCAGCGCCAGCTCGCAGACGAGAAGCGAGTGTCTAAGTTTTCTGCTTTGCTTGAGGATTGCTGTCAGACCGAGCAATCCGAGGCGAACCCCGAGGTCGAGGGAGCTGGGGAATTGACATAGGGGGTAGGTGAGCCTGATGCTGATCATTTCAATTTTGATGAGTGGCCCGAGGAAGAAGACCCGCGGGCCGACGGATTGCGTTTCTGCCCCGATTCCCCCCTCCCCCCCGCTCCTGCTGCACCCGCAGATGCAACGCCCCCGCGTGACGATTGGACATCCACGCAATCGAATCTTGCAAGAGCGTCTACGCCCCAGCCTCGGCCCCTTATATGTCCCGCGAGGCTTCCGTGGGCGCGCCTCAAGGGGTCGGGCAGTCTTGGGCGGAGCCTCCGAACGCTCCTGCTCCTGCTCTTGGCCGTCCTCTGTCGCCGACCCTGGGTTCCTCTGAGGCCGGAGGCCCTCCAGGGCCCGAGCTGGAAGTAGAGAGCCCTGGAAGGGGCCCCGCCCTTCGCCGCCCCGTCCGACTTGCGGGCCAGGCGTCGTGGAGATGTTGGGCTCATCCAAGGGGCCGCCTCGCTTCAGCCCCATTGCTCCTGCTCTGCGGCAATCCGTAGCCGTTCAGCTCGAGCCAGCTCAGCTTGAGACTACAGTCGGGGCGTTGACCTAAGGAACCCTAGATAAGGAACGAGGCCCCTTTTTTCCATAAGTTAAACTTCGATTTCCCATCGAAAACATAAGGAAACCCTGAGGCAAGCTGTGAAACAATGAAGGAACACGGAGCCCCTCCACAACGAAAAGGGTTCCTTCTTCAGCGCACCGACTGTACATCTGGTCTTTGCGCCTCCCGGGTGTCTGCCGCCGAATCTACAACCGCTTCTCATCGTGGAGTGGACCTGCCCCGAGGCCCGACTCGGGCAGAGGGTCCCAGGCTCACGCCCGAAGCAACGAGAGTGCCGCAGAAGGTTCGGGGGACGCCCCTCCGCGACCAGATCGGCGGCTGGCGGGCCGCAACTGCACCAAGGGCTCCTAAGTTCGCGCTTCGCGCTGCGCGAAGCGCGAATAACTTCGCGCTCTCGCGCCGCCCCCCCAGAGGGAGAAGAGGAGGACGAGGAGGAGGGGGAGAAGGAACGAGGACCGCGAAGCGCGAATAACTTCGCGCCCTCGAGGGAGCCCTTGGATCGGCGGCTGGCGGGCCGCAACCTGCACGCTCCGCTCGGGGGCCATTCTGCGGCACGAGGCGCAGGGCGATGCCGCGCCAGCGCGTCTCGCCGCGGCGGCTGGCCCACCGCGCTCCGGCCCGACACGCTGACCACTCCCCCGCTGCCGGGCGCCCACGCCCCAGGCGTTTCCCAGGAGGAGGAGGAGGAGGAGGAGGAGGAGGAGGAGGAGGAGGAGGAGGAGGAGGAGGAGGAGGAGGAGGGATCGCCCCGAGCATGTCGAGAGGGTGCTTCTTGTAGTGCGTGATTCCCCGTGGACTGACTGGGCGAGGGCGCCGAGCCAGGCGGGCGCGGCGGTTGCGCCAACGCCAGCCAGCTACGCGGCCGTCGCCGAGGGGATCATGGGGGGGGGGCCCAGCGCAGGACCGTTCAGGATAGCGTCAATGAGTTCAAGGAGTTCATTGGCAGGACTAAAGGTTGACACCAACACCAACATCGGCGGTGTGCCTCCGCCGAGGGAAGAAGATCCCGATTTCGGTGATGGTGGTAATATTCTGGTGTCCAAGGCGACCGAAATATTGCCACCAACACCGAAATCTAGGATCATCTTCCTCTTGTGAGGGCAACCCCCCTGTGCTGGTGTTGGTGCCAATTTCTAGGCCTCCAATTCATGGTCGAAGAGGGACCTGTTGGGATCCTGCGCAAGTCTTTGAATCAACAGTTTCTGCCTGGTCTGGCTATTGACCAGGGCAATGCAGTTCTATTCCACCCTCGGGATCTGATCGATCATAAAGCGAGGACATGGCACGCTTCGTGGTCACCAGCAGCCGTGGATGAGGAAGAGATCTGTCGGACCTTTGGCAATATTCAGGATGCTGCTGGATCGGAGTCGCTGCCTGACAGTTCAGTTGCAGATATACGGTCAGCGCTTCGCAAGATGAAGGGGCGAGCGGGCCTGGGCGTGGACATGCTCTGCCCGCTCGACTTCGAGCGCCTCCCCAGAGAGGCGCTGGCCGAGTTGGCGTTGCTGTTCCAGGCGCGCGGGCATGACCTAGTGCCGCCAGGTCAGCTGTTGTTGATATCAGGGGGGATGTTGCCTAAGAGGTCGGATGGAAATCGCACCATCGGGCTCGCGTCGATGGCGGGGTGGCCGTGGGGCCTCATCAGGGGGGCCCCCGGTGCGCACACGGTCGACGGAGGCTGAGCAACACTGGGGCGCCGCAGTCAGAGGCAACTCCAGCCTCCGCGAGGCGTTCGCCCAGGTGCTGCAGCAGGCCCCCTACGGCAGGTTCGTGTAGTGCCGACCCCAGCGTTGGTTCTTGACACCGCAGGGATCGTTCAACCTTGAACGATCGGCCGCTGCCGCAACGTCCGATCGTTCAACATCGATCGATTCTGGGTCGCCGGCGGCGTTCAACCTTGAACGTCCGCGCTGGGGTCGCCGCTGGTCGACACGACTCGAACCTACCGTACCGCCTCGGCGCAGCCACGGGGGGGGCCCACGTGAACATCCAGGCGTTCGACGACTCCATC